GAAAAGGCAGAGGTTGTAACTTTTGAAATTTTCAATTTGGCAAAATTTAACCTCGATCCTTGGAAAATAGGCAAACCGTGGGCATTTGGAGTTATCCGTTTTACATATCTCATTGCGAGAAACCAACACATCCCAGACCTGACCTCATTCGTTTCATGTGACACTTCCCTTCAACAGTTTGCGAACTTCCCTTCAACAGTTTGCGAACTTCCTCGTGCCTGTGTCCAAAGCAATATACAGAAACATAAAAGAAATGGCTCGAGACGAAACGTCAGCCATGAGGTTAGAGGCGTTAGGTAAAGACAATGCGGTGGAGTCGGCGGAGTAATATAGGACAGAGAGGCGGGAGGAAAGAGGGGAAGAGCAAGCGGCACGACCTCGTCCATCCACAATGATCATGGCCGTAAGGCTAATTAGCCAAGTGGGATCTGACCACTGGCACACTAAGGCTAACAAATCAACATTTACGGCGGAGGAGCTGGATAAGGTGCATAAGAAGTACCAGATTCTAGTGGAGATAGAGTTGAAGTTATCGATATCTAAGGAGAGGACGTCGGATGCACGTCCGATGGAGTTTACGTTGTACAAGGAGGCGTTGCGAGGGGGTTTGAGGTTACCGCTCCCACAAATAGTGGTGGACATACTGAACCGGTTGGAGGTGGCGCCAGGTTAGCTTATGCCCAACGCGTGGAAAATATTACCGACCTGCGCGATCGCATGGGCACGGGCGACCGGGGGAGCAGCGATGACAGTGAATGAATTCTTTTCTTGCTATAAGGCCTCTGATTAACAAGAAACATGGGTGACCTTGCAGGCGGTGACAGGTTTACCATCGTCAATGAAGGGGTGGAGACCAAGGTGGTTTTACGTATCAGTAAATGGCAGGAGGGGGCTGCGCATAATGTGGAAAATTCCCATCAAGTCGGTGGAGCCAAGGCTGGAGACAGAGGCAAAGAATATGGTTAAATGGGTAAAATAGTGGAGGGAGAAGGAGGGCGTGAAGTGGGATAATCTTATCCAGCCTTCAACCTTGTTTGCCTTAAGTCTAGGGCCACAGCCGACTGAGGAGGACCCTGCGCCGAAAAAGTTGGAGGCGAGAAGGAAAACGCAGGAGGCAAATGATCAAAGGACATTCGCCAAGGCAGTCAAGTATAAAGAATCACAGTTAGGCCGTGCGCCTAAGCTGGTCATGAATGAACGAGTCTAACCACGCCCTAAGCCTCTGGGAGATAAGGATCTGACCGATTTTGCGCCGCTACCACCCCTAGTGGATCCGTTGAAGGAGATGAGCAAAAAAGAGGTGGAGGCGGTGTTGAAGAAAAAAAAGAAAAGAAGGGCGGCTGCGGAAGAGAGCGAGGGGGAGCCAGTGTTGAAGAAGGTAAAGGAGGGGATGGCAGAGGTAACCCTAGAAGTAAAGGTGGGGGAGACAAGGATGAGTGTCCAAGTACTGAGTGAAGTAGCTGAGCCAAAGCAGTTGGCAGGAGGCAAGAGATTGGAGGAGCAATCACCCAAGATTGTGTCTGTACAAGAAGTGTCCCCAAGTTCTGGGGTAGGGAGAGGCCGAACGAGCAGATCAGAGACGAGCGCTACGTTGAAGGCCGCCACGTATCATGCTTGCGCGATGGCTAGTCGATCTACGAAAGAAGGGGGCGAAGCTAGGGTCGTCGCAGATCGTCTTCTGGGGGTAGTGGAGAATGCGACCGTGCGGTCGATGGCACAATTTACAGAGGCCGACCTCCTGAGAGGGTTCTGTTCAGTGCAGATGGAAGCGACGACCTTGGTGGCGGCCCTGTTGAATAAGGCGGCGCACGTGAAGGTGGAGGCAGAGCCGCTGAAGGCCTAGCTGGAAGGGGTGAAGGATGGCGGGCTGGAGAAAAGCAGCGCGGAGTGCTTGTGCAAAGGGCCTAGACTATGCGCAAAGGGCTAAGAAGATGGAAGTATTGGCGGTGGTGCAGAGCTAATTGGCAGAACGCGCTGCCTCCGAGCTCGCCATCACCAAATCGGAGCTGGGAGTGGTGTGCCACAAGGCGGTATTGCTGGAGTTTGAGTTGGCGGGCAAACAGAGGAAGGTAGGCGAAGTCCAAGAAACCTGCAACACTGCCAAGGAAAGGTTGGAAAAGGCCCTCTCCAATAATGAAGATTTGTGCGACTAGGCCCTAAAAGACAAGGAAGAAGCAGATGGGCACATCGCGGAGTTGGAGATGATACTGGAAAAAGAAAGGGCCAAAATGGCCTCTGAGAGAACGGCGTACCCAAACCTGTGTATGGCGACGGTGGATCAGTTTAAGGGGTCTACTGAATTCCAGATGGCCATCGACACGGTGGTTGCCAGGAGTTTGGCTAAGGAGGGTGAAGGGGGTGCTGGACTATTAGGAGTGGCTGCAGAAGGTAGGAACAAAGAAGAAGTAATCCAAAGTTTTCAGCGGTCAGACTTCTACAAGCACGAGATGAGCCAATACTAGGGCAGCGGCTGGATGAGCTCCAGGTATAAGGCGTAAGAGCTGTTCCCAGATGTGGACTTCAGTCTGGTGAAAGTAGAAGAGAACAACATCGCCCAGACTCCCCTGGATAAGGGGTTAGAAGAGGAAGATCTTGCGTCCAGCGAAGGGGAGTAAGGGCTGGGTGTTTTTTCTCTTTTTTGTTTGTTTGTTTGTTTGTTTGCTTGTTTGTTTTTTGTAATGAAGTGAATGTATTTTCTGTAATAAAGTGTATAATGGTGCAAGTTGTTAATAAATAAAGGTGCCAGTTCTGTTATGGAGTGTTGTTATTATTTATTTATTTTTGAATGGTAAAATTGTTAATAAAGTGTATGAATGGTAAAATTGGACAAGTAATCTAACTTGTATAGATGGTAAAAATGACCTGGGATAAGAATAAACTGGGATTTAACTAAGTAGTGGCGCTATGTACAACTCAGTTTGGCTGGGTGCTTCTTATGCAGTTTGGGTGAGACTTGGAGGGTTCACTCAGAATGACTGAGACTTAGAGGGCTCAGTTGGGCTGAGGCTTGGCTTAACTCAGCCTAGCTGAGCTCTTCATGCTTAGTCTGGTTGAGACTTGGAGGGCTCAGTCGGGCTGAGGCTTGGCTTAACTCAATCTGGTTGAGCTCTTCATGCTCAGTCTGGCTGAGACTTTGAGGGCTCAGTCGGGCTGAGGTTTGGCTTAACTCAGTTTAGCTGAGCTCTTCATGTTTAGTCTAGCTGAGACTTGGAAGGCTCAGTCGGACTGAGGCTTGGCTTAACTCAACTCAATCTGGTTGAGCTCTTCATGCTCAGTCTAGCTAAGACTTGGAGAGCTCAGTCGGGCTGAGGCTTAGCTTAACTCAGTTTGGTTGAGCTCTTCATGCTCAGTCTGGCTAAGACTTTGAGGGCTTAGTCCGGCTGAGGCTTGGCTTAAATCAGTCTGACTTAGTCTGGCTAAGCTCTCCATGCTCAGTCTGGTTGAGATTTGGAGGGCTCAGTCAGGCTGAGGCTTGGCTTAAATCAGTCTGACTCAGTCTGGCTGAGCTCTTCATGCTCAGTCTGGCTGAGACTTGGAGGGCTCAGTCGGGCTAAGGCTTGGCTTAACTCAGTTTGGCTGAGCTCTTCATGCTCAGTCTGGCTGAGATTTGGAGGGCTCAGTCTGGCTGAGACTTAGTCTAAGACTTGTCATTGAAGCGCAAAACAGATAATGGAGATGTGAAATTGTTGTCATTAAGGCACAGTCTGTCGATCATAAATTTACACCGTGCACGGAAAAAACAAAAATAAACAAGTGTTCAGATTGGCAAAAGAGATCATACAACAATTGAATGATACAAAAACAGGAGACGCCATTTTATTGGAAATAACGCTTCAAGTGTTCGGCGTTCCATGCCATGGATGTGGGAGGTCTCTGTCTTCCATATCTTGGAGACGGTAAGTACCCGGGCGGGGTCTGGCCTTGACAACATAAGGTCCTTCCCATTTGGCTGCTAGCTTGCCCTTGGTCGGTTTTTTAGTGGCAAGGGTTGTTTCACTCAAGACGAGACCTCTCACTATGAACTCTCGCGGTCAGACTTTGTGGTTATAATGTGTTCTCATTTTCTGCTGATACAATGCCCGTCTGACAGAAGTTGCCTCTCGGAGCTCTTCAATTAGGTCCAGGTCAGCCCGACACAACTCTTTGTTTAGTTCTGGATTCGGATGTAAAACCCGAGGGGTCGGCAGGTCGATTTCCACTGGGATGACTGCCTCGGCGCCGTATGTTAGGCAAAAGGGGGTCTTTCTAGTGGGGGTTCGAACTGTCGTCCGATATGCCCAAAGTACGTTCAGTAATTCCTCTGCCCAGAGTCCTTTGGCGGCTTCTAACTTAGTCTTGATGATCTTCAAAAGGGAGTGATTGGTGATTTCGACTTGTCCATTGGCTTGGAGATAGCCTGGGGAAGAGAAACATGGTCTAATATTGAGCTCATCACAAAATTTCCTAAACTTGGCATTGTCGAATTGTTTGCCATTGTCAGAAACAATGGCTTGGGGGATTCCAAATCAGCACATGATCGACTACCAGATGAACCTGGTAGTGTTTCGCTCAGTAATTTTAGCAAGGGGTTCTGCTTCCACCCATTTGGTGAAATAGTCAATGGCAAGCACAACAAACTTGGTTTGGCCCCTACTAGTAGACAAAGGACCGACTAAGTCGATGTCCCACTTAGCGAAGGAGTAGGGACTGCTGAGTGTAATTAGTTTTGTTGGTAGAGCATGGGGGATGTGGGCAAAGCGCTGGCATTTATCACACTTAAGTACAAATTCGCTGGCATCTTGATTGAGCATGGACTAGAAGTAGCTAGTGCGGAGGATTTTATGGGCCAAAGATCTTCCACTCGAATGATTACCACAAATTCTCTTGTGGACTTCTCTCATCACATAGGTCACTTGAGCAGGACTGAGACACCTGAGGTATGGGCGTGAGAATCCCCATTTGTATAGTAGGCCGTTGATAAGGATGTAATTAGACAACCAGGCTATGACTTTAGCAGCCTACTATTTATCGTCTGGCAACTCCCCTCGTGTCAAAAACGGAATAATGTCTTGAGCCCATGTGATAGGTTCGTTCTGGAGAAAGTGGACCTCCTGCGGGTTTGGCGAAGTCACCGGATGGGTCAGGTATTCAATGCGGATGCCATGGCTGAGGTCTGACTGGTTAGCCGAGGCTAATTGAGTCATTTTGTCCGCCTTGGAGTTTTCTGACCAAGGGATGTGTCTAATCTGAAAAGTATTGAAGAGGTGGACAAGAGGAAGGGCAATGTCTCTGTATGCTCGTATCGTCTCCTCCTTTGCGTTGAACTCCCTAGTAATCTGTCTGACAATCAATTGGGAATCACTGAATACGTGGATATGACTTACACCAATGTCTTTGGCTAGTCGAAGACCTAGTATCAAGGCCTCATACTCGACCTCATTATTACTTGCGTCGAACAGGAGACAGAGGGTACACTTGAAGTACCCACCCTCTGGGGTGGTGAGGATTAGACCGGCTTCACTACCCTCTTTGTAGGATGAACCATCAACACTAAGGGTCCAGGAGTGGGGGTCTTCTGCATTAGTGGTGAAGTGTGCTAGCGGAGGAGGTATGTTCGGAGTGAGATTGGTGAACTCCAAGATAAAATCGACGACAGCCTGGCCTTTGATCGTTGTTCAAGGTCAGTAAGAGATTTCAAATTGACTTAGCTTGATGGACCATTGCATAAGTCTTCCTGACGATTCTGGTTGTTGCATGACCTTTTTCAAAGGCTAGTCAATGAGAACCACTATGAAGTGAGCTTGGAAATAAGGTCGGAGGTGTCTGGAGGCTATGACCAAGATGAGGGCCATTTTTTCTAACGGAGGGTAGTTATGTTCTGCCCCCCTGAGAGCGCGGCTAATGTAGTAGACTGGTCGTTGTACTGAGCTGTCTTCCCTGATAAGGGCAGCACTGGCCGTAATGTTTGGCATGGTTAAGTAGAGGAAGAGGGTTTCGCCTGGCAGTGCTTGAAAGAGGAGGGGAAGGTTGGCCATGCACTGCTTCAGTTGTTGAAAGGCTTCTTCGGATTCGGTGCTCCATCCGAACGCCTGTCGGAGGACTTTAAAAAATGGAAGACCCTTGTCGATTGCTCAAGAAATAAAGTGGTTGAGTGTGGCAACTCTGCCCGTGAGCAGTTGAACCTCTTTAATTGTTCTAGGAGACCGCATTTCTATCAAGGCCTTGATCTTTTTGGGGTTAGCCTCAATGCCTCGTTGGCTAACCATAAAGCCCAAGAACTTTCCAAATCCCACGCCGAAGGCGCACTTCTCCGAATTTAGCTTTATCTGATATTTGCGTAAGGTTTTGAAGGTCTTTCGCAGGTCTGCCAAGTGATCCAATGAGAGTTTACTCTTGACTAGCATGTCATCGATGTAGACTTCCATGTTTTGACCTATCTGGTGTTGAAAGACGACATTAACCAAGCGTTGGTAAGTTGCTCTGGCATTCTTCAAGCCGAATGACATAACACGATAGTGATAAGTTCTTCTGTCGGTGATGAAGGAGATGTACTCCTGGTCAATTGGGTGCATCAAGATTTGGTTGTAGCCGGAGAAGGCATCCATGAAGCTAAGCATCTGATGTCCTACAGTTGCGTCGACCAACAAATCTATCCAGGGGAGGGGATAGCTATCTTTGGGGCAAGCTCGATTAAGGTCAGAATAGTCGACGCAGAGTCGCCATTTGCCATTATTTTTGCAGACCAAGACCACGTTGGACAGCCACCTGGGGTAGTCTACGTTTTTGATTAACTGTGTCTTCAGTAGTTGGTCCACCTCAGTGGCAATAAGGGTATTGCGTTCTGGGTGAAAAATACGCTGTCTTTGTCGGAAAGGTCAGAAGTGGGGCTCAATACTGAGACGATGAGTAATGAAAGAGGGATTGATACTCGGCATGTCTGAATGGGTCCAAGCGAAGACATCGTTGTGCTCGGCGAAGAGAGCCGTGAGATCAGCCTTAGCTTGAGAGAATAGTTGGCTGCCAATCCTGGCTGTTTTGGCTTAATCGGTAGGATCAATAGGCACTTCGACAAGTTCCTCCACTGGCACCTCTCTGATTAACTCTTCCTCGTCTCTGATGTCGAGACCTTCGATGATCATAGCCTCCTTCATTTTGACCTCCTTTAACGAAGCGACGTAGTACTCTCTGGCCATCATCTGTTCGCCCCTCACTGTGTTGACCCCGAGGTCGGTTGAAAATTTCATAGCTAGATGGTATGTGGAGGTGACAGCTTGGAAAGCGTTGAGAGCCGTGCGTCCGAGGATGATGTTATAAGTAGAAGGACAGTCGACGACGAGGAAAGTGAGTAGTTTGGTGGTCTGCAGTGGATATTCTCCAATGGTAATGGGAAGATCGATGGAGCCTATGGAGGTCACCCGATTGCCAGTGAAACCGACTAGCGGGGTCTAGAGAGGGGACAACTTTTCTTCTCCAACCTTGAGTTGACGATAGGCGTTCAGGAAGATGATGTCTGAAGAGCTGCCGTTGTCGACAAGTACCCGTCTAACTTTGTAGTTGGATAGGAGAGCGGAGATGACAAGGGGGTCGTCGTAGGGATAATGAATGCCTGTGCAGTCGGCCTCTGTAAAGGTTATGGGTTCAGACCATTGCTTGGGGTGTTTGAAGGGGCGATCCAATGTCATTACTTCCTTATCGGAGCCTTGTCTGATTTTGCTAAGTTCGGCTCGCTGGGCCAAACGAGATGGCCCTCCGCATGCGATGACTCTGATCTCTTCGATCGGAGAGGCGGGATTGCCTTGTGCCCGGGGTTGTGGTAGGAGCCGATCATTGTCTCGCTTAGGTTGTGCGGGTTGTCAAGGGTGTATGTCGACGGTGGTCCCCGGCGAGTCAATCCTCGATCGTTGCTGGGGACGGGCTATCGTGAACAGACTAAGGCGCCCCTGGCATATCAAATTCTCTACCTGGTCTTTAAGGTTAACACATTCCTCAGTGTTGTGGTTGTGGTCTTAATGGAAGCGACAGTACTTGGATTGATCTCGCCGGTTGGAGGGAGATTGTGATGGTTGGGGCCATTTCAGGTTGTAATCTTGATGAATTTGGTTCAAGATTTGTTCTATGGAGGAATTGAGAGGGGTGTATCGTTCGAACTGACCGAGTGGTCGGGTAGGTGCCAGTCGGTTGGCTGGAGCAATTCGGTCAGTATATTGAGGGTGTTAATGTGTATATTGGGAGGATCTGGTTTCAGGTTCCTTTCTTTTGTCCTTAGGGGGTGGATTTTTGGGTGTGGAATCTTGGCGGGCTGCCAAAGAGTCTTTGGCATTCATATATTTTTGGGCTTTGGAAAGGAGAGTGGCTATGGCGGTCAAGGGGTTTTAGAAGGGGAGAAAAAGAAATCGGATAGTCGTAAACCGACCATGAAGGCTATGAGGATGACCTTGTCATCATTTTCTGCCACCTATAGGGCCTCGGTGTTAAAACGGGTAACAAAGCTACATAGTGACTCCCCTTCCATCTGCTGGATATTAAGCAGTTGAGTTGCCAGGCGCCGCTGGTGCTGAGCACCAATGAAATGGCTCAAGAAGGAATCACTTAGATATTGGAAAGTAGAGACAGAGTCCGGCGGTTGTTGACTAGACCATAGTCGAGCTGGCCCCTTAAGCGTCACGGGGAAAGCCCGATACATGATCTCTTTAGGGAAAACATGGAGAATCATGAGGGTCTTGTAGGTCTCCAAATGGTCGACCGGATCAGTTGTGCCATCGAAGGTGTAGATCGAGGGCATTTTGAACTTGGGGGGCAGGGGTTTGTCCCAGATAGAGGAGATAAATAGGGAGTTAGCTGTTGTTGAGGGTTTGTTTTGTATGTTTTGCATGACTCCCTGAAGTTGGAGTTTCATGGCTTAGAGTTCCACATTCCAAATGGGAACATTGTCCCCTCTAGAGTGCAGTGAGGGCTGAACACTACTAGCCTCTGCTTCAAGGACAGGTGCTTGAATTGATGGATGTAAGCCCCGAGGTGGTGGGTTCATGTCTTGAGGTGGGGATTGTAGACCCTCCATGTTGGAAAGGTGGGCTTGTTGGAAAGGATGGCTTGGGGTCTATTCTCGATTGGCAGGGATATCTTGTGGTGATGGAGGAGATATAGAGAGATTTCGCTAGAATAAAGCGTTGATCAAGGCCTAGTTTTGTTCGACTAAGTGATTAATGCTATTGGTGAGCTCCGTGAAGTACTAAGGTAGGTTGTTTGGGTTGGGAGGATCGGCTTAGGGATTGACAACATTGTGTTGAGAAGCCATGGATCTTGTTGTAACCATCCACCTTGATAGACGGTAAGGAGAAGTTATTGGAAACGGGTCTCCGACAACAATGAGCACAACTGTTAACTGGAGTGGCGTTCCCACAGACGACGCCAACTGATGATGTTGCTAATCCAAGGAAGGGCGAGTCAGGCCGACCCACGCTTCCAACACCTTTCACCGGTCTTGGAGCTCGCTGGTGGTGCCTGCAAAAAAGTCCAACGGGGAATGGGAGTCCCCCAGCGGACCCTCCGACGATCAAGTTAGAAAAAAGGAGATCAACTGTATAGAGAAAGAGAGAGAAGAAGAATGGAGAACTTAACCTTTGATGTGTCTTGTAAACCTTTTTATATCCTTTGTCCATCATTTCCTTGTCCACTCCGACCTGTTGTGTTGGCCGAAAGTCTATACTCTAGCTTGCATTGTTCATGGTGAGGCTGTTTGTTCCGACGTGAAGGGGTTGCCGTATTTAATGCTGTAGAAGCCTCATCAATGACTGATGTGTGGTGCAATAACTCTGCAGGATCTTTGTTTGCTTACGTGGCTGGTTCCCTGCTTGACAATTGTTTAGATGCCATTGGTTCCTGGTTCAACATTGGGTTTTCAAGGGTGTTGGGCTTTAGTACTTGAACCGTGAATTGGGCTCTAAGTAGTGGGCCAAAACCTTTTGTGGGCCCACCGATGTCAGTAGAACTGATGATGTTGCTGATCCAAAGGAAGGCGAGTCGGGCCGACCCACGCTTCCAACACCTTTCACAGGTCTCGAAGCTTGCTGGTAGTGCCTGCAAAAAGGTCTAACGGGAAATAAGAGTCCCCCAGCGGACCCTCCGACGATCAAGTTAGAAAATAGGAGATTGACTGTGTAGAGAGAGAGGGAGAGAAGAAGAATAGAGAACTTAATCTTTGATGTGTCTTGGAAACTTCCTTATATCTTTTGTCTATCATTTCCTTGTCTACTCCGACCTGTCGTGTTGGCCGAAAGTCTATACTCTAACTTGCATTGTTCATGGTGAGACTGTCTGTTCCGACGTGAAGGGGTCGTTGCATTTAATGTTGTAAGAATCTCATTAATGGCTGATATATGGTGTAATAACTCTGCAGAATTTTTGTCTGCTTACGTGACTGGTTCCCTACTTGACAAATGCTTAGATGCCATTAGTTCCTGGTTCAACATTGAATTCTTAAGAGTGTTAGGCTTTAATACTTGAATCGTGAATTGGACTCTAAGTGGTGGGTCAAAACTTTTTGTGGGCCCACCAATGTCAAATAGTTTTATTAAAATCGGACCATTGTCTATAACTGTCAACGCTAACTTTCTCCTTGAATTGAGAAATAGAAAATGAATATTGAATTAGAATCTGTATCTACAAAGGTAATAGATGATGCAAATTTTATTTTCATATATATAATATGATTCATATTTAAAATAAATTTTAATTATATTTAAATATTCATTTAGATAAATTTTGTTAAGAGTATAATATTACTGATTAGGGGTGAGCAGCGGATATACCGATCCGCTAAAACCGACCGGACCGAACCGATCTGCCGCATTTTGGACGGATGCGTGATGACGAGTGGACGGTTGCGGATTGATTTTCTCCAATCCGCCAATTTGGCGAACGGATGGCGGATTTAAGGTTTCTTTGGCCGCAACCAAACCGCCAAACCGCGATCACCCTTAGTAATTTATAAGACTATGTGTTTTCAATTTGTTTAAAAATTTTGTTTGTGTTTTCAATTGAAAAAGAGTTCAAATATTTTGTTGAAAAAAAGTTTTCAACTTGAATATATTTTTTGAATTGAAAAAAATAAACGTATTATCTATCTATATTTTTTGGTTTTTAAATCTAATTCTAAAAGTAATAAATAGAAAATATGATATATGTTGGTTGATTTTTATTTTTAAAAACATATATAAATGTAACAATACAGAGACATACAATCTTTATTATTGCTCTGTTCATGATTTTGGTGGTTTGAATTGTTTTTATATTTTAAGAACCATAGATTGTAATACTTTATGTGAATAATGCATGCTGTCATTATAATATGTGGATGAGGCATGCAGTAATTGTGATAATTTAAAGTTTCAAAATTTCTTTCTTTGGATGAGGTATGCAGTAATTGTAATACTTTTTAAAGTTATTGATTTTAATATTAATATTTTTTTTTTTAGGAAGTGCACAAGTTGAACTGTGTTGAAAATTTATAAAATTTCAAACCGCCAAACTGATCCGCATCCATCCACCAAATCGCCAATCCACATCTGCCAGATTAGCGGACGGATGTGGATTGATTTTCTCCAATCCGCCAATCTGACAGACGGATGACGGATTAGAAGTTCCGCGAACCGACCTTCGCCCACTCCTATTACTGATATAAAAAAAGAAAAATAATATATAAATTTATTTTTTAAATTCACTTTATATTATTAATCAATTATTTTCTTGACTTGACGTTAGATGTATAGAGTGGAACAAAAAAGTGGGTCTGAATAGCGGATCAGGATCCTCTCCTTACAACCTCTGTCCTTGCGCCTGTCCTTGCAGGTCTTCGGGTCTACTTTTAGACTTAATTTTGATAATTCGAACCGTTCATATTTTATAATTTATTCAGTATATCATACCTGTAAAAAATCAAATTGATCGAATGTCTTGTGTGGGAATCAAGATCTCCTTCTTGTATTTTCTACTTGCAGGGTCATTGGGCCCACTTTTAGGCCCAATTTTGATAATTCGAACCGTTCATATTTTATGATTTATTCAGTATATCATACCTGTAAAAAAATCAAATTGATCGAATATCAGAAAGTATGTGTTCGAAAAATTGAACTAAAAACTATTTTTTAAATAATTTAATAAACAGTTTTCCGAACACATACTTTCTGATATCCGATCAATTTAATTTTTTACAGGTTTGATATATTGAATAAATTATAAAATATGAACGGTTCAGATTATCAAAATTGGACCTAAAAATAGGCCCAAAAACCTGCAAGGACGGGCACAAGGACGGGACTGCAAAAACCTGTAAGTAAATTGCTGAGGAGTTGAGCAACGTGTCGTCTCTTACTCAGCTTCTCTTCATGCAAATAGACAGCTGGAACTGTCTCTGCCAATTACAGACCTCTCTCTCTCTCTCTCAAAACTCTACTATGGTAAGTCCGCCGAAAAGACGACGCCATCGCTTCTCAGCAACCAGGAGGACTAGTCTAGGTCTACCACCACCAAGCGCCATCACAACCACCACCGTCATACCATCATGGATGTGGAAGAAAAGAAAGACTACTACTACTACTACAACTACTTCTTCCCCCCAATACTACCAAACCCATTAGAAATCATCTACAACTGTTTCCTTACTCTCTTCTCTCCCTTCTTCTCTCTCTTCTCCCTCATTTCTGAGTCCTTTCGCCAAGCCGAAGAGGCCAAAGACACCGTCGAATCGGCGGTCCATGCCGCCGCCAGAGCCCCCTGTACGGTGGCACACGGAACCAGCGTCTTGGTGAGGAAGATAGGGATGGGGCTTCTGGGTGCTGTACACGTGTGCATGGTCTTGATAATGGTGATGGCTCTGGCAATCGTGTTGGGAGTTGGGTTGGTGGAGTTATGGGTGGAAGAGCCCGTGGTTGTGAGAGAGAGGTTGAATTTTGATTACACTCAAGTTCACCCAAATGCAATCCTCTCATTTGATGGCGGCCAAGGGAGGCGGAGGAAGAAGATGACGGGTGTGCCGGTTGGGCATACTTTCTATGTTTCATTGGTTCTTTTGTTGCCCGAATCTGATTATAATAGGCAAGTTGGGGTGTTTCAGGTAATTCACATATTTCTTCTCTTTTTCTATGGTGGACGGTTGAACCGTGGACCAGGTACAAACCCATTATCTTGAATTTTTAAATGGCCTGATTAGGGTGATCAAATAGATATTATTGACAGGATTTCTCGAGTTGACCATTTCACTTTTAGAAGAGTTGTTTGGAGTGGTCCAAACAATTCACCTTTTACTTTTACTTTTACTTTTACTTTTCGTTAAGTACAATATTTATGTAAACTATTAACATGTTTGGAAATCAATAGATATATATTTAAATTATATTTTTATTTTATTATTTTTGAAATTATAATGGTCATTTATTTTTTTTAAAATGATGTGATTCAAATCATAAAAAAAAATAACAATTCAAATCACTAAAACCAACCTCAAAATGGATAAGCCCAAATTCTCTTTAGATGACTAACTTAAAGGAATCCAATCTCTTGGATTGATATGTCAAGAGTAAAAGACTAGGTGGAGTTTAAATGGGAATTTTGGAATTCTCTACGTGTGGTTATAAAGGACACTTTCCTGCTTAACAATAATGTAGGTACACAAAATTAGAATTACTAAATATGCACAGAGGTTGGAATTTATTTCCAATATAGTCCACATCACACCCATCATAGATTTCAAAATTGCACACATTCTGTGATCTAGTTTTGTGATCTAATTCAATGCAGTTAGCATTATTGCATGCTAAATCAGGAATTGTTTAGCTAATCTCGTTGAGAAGTAGATACCGAATTGATGCACATATACACACACTCATTACTGGAATCACTCTAAAATAATATGCTAAACCTGTCCAAGTCTTAAAGAATTTTAGAAAATAATAAGGTATGTTCAGACATATATCCAACTGAGTGTCAATATCAGATACATGTCTAACATGGACACAAGTGTTCATGCTTCTTAGGAAATTGACCTGAAAGCTTTCTTCAGAGCATCCATTAATAATTGATGCAATTCCTGTGTTGCAAAGTTTGTTACTCATGACTTGTGTTTTTCACCAGTTGAATGCAGAACTAATATCAACTAAGGGCAATGCAATAGCAAAATCAAGCCAACCATGCATGTTGAGGTTTAGAAGCCTCCCAGTTCGACTTGCTCGAACATTTCTCATGAGCATACCACTATTACTAGGAATAACAGATGAAACTCAGAAGATAAACATTCCAGTATTGAAGCATAAAGAAGGCTATCCAAGAACTAAAGCTATCATAATATCTTTGGTTCCACGGCCTACAACAACTTTCCTTCCACAGTTGTACGAAGCTGAAATTATCATCAACTCTCAGCTGCCTTGGAGAAAAGAAATCGTGCGCAGATGGAAATGGACATTTTATGTGTGGACATCGTTATACATGTACATTATATTTGTCATAGTTCTTGTTTGTTGCTTCAAGCCGCTCATTTTCCCAATGATGATTGCAAGTTCTAGTGAACCTAGCAAGGAAGATTCTGCCTTGGAAGAATCAAAAGAGCGGAAGGAGAGAGGTGGAGAGGAAAGAGATGTTTTGGAATCTTTCAGAAAACGGCAACGAAATCGAAGGAAGAGGAAGGCAATGCTTTTGCATAGGGTTTTACCGGACACTACTTGCTCATCTGCTTCAAGCATCAGTATAACTAGAGATGAGATGATTGTGGCTACCGAAGAAGAAGATGCAGGGGATTCAGAATCTGTCTGTTTTGGAGGTTGAATCCATCCAAGTGATGAGTTTCTCAAATATTTCTTGTTCAATATATGTAATGCAGTGGTTATTAGTGAAGTTCCGTAATTTTGTCTAAAAAAAAGTACAAAAGGTAAATTTAAATCAAGCAAAGAAATCTTTATAACAGAACTCAAAAGTGGGAAGATAATGACTATAGATAAAACTCTGAGAGTTTTAAAAAGAAAGAAAGAAAAGAAAATCCATTCATATATACAAGCAAAGATAACGAGTTCACAGTAAAAGGCATCATGAACATGTAATCTATTTAACATATTAGACGAAGAAACATGTGAGGTAAACAAAGAAAGAAAATCAAATGATTGTGTAGGCGGGGGATAGCCTCGCTAGAGTTATTAACACAAGAAAATTTCCTCCCCTCGCTAGAGTTATTAACACAAGAAAATTTCATCAGAAAATGAAGAAAGACAGTCGCACCAGGTGTAATGACGATTTGCCTGTTGGAGCCGCAGGTCTCAAAACCAAGGGGCTGGATCTTTGAGAAAGAGGCAAATTTAGCAAGAAAATCTACAGCACTCTTTGCTTCTCGATAGCAGAAATGCATCTTTGCTTTCATTGAATCAACATAGTTATTGATGGTTGTCCCAACAAAGATGGAGCAGCCTGCACTTGGTGGCAGTCTTCTTCCTGCAAAAAGCAATAAATGCAAATTCAGAATCGGGGTTACTGCAAGAAGCTTGCCTCCAACACTACCTGCATTGCCAGGGTCATTGCAAGAAGCTCCATCTACATTTATTTATCTTAACAAAATCAATAGGTAGATTTCATCCAACGAAAAGGATGATGGCAAATTGGTTTGTGATGAGGAAGATGCACCTCTTCACAGAATGAATTCTTTTTTTGTAAACACTACGGTTGGATTAACAGGGGGGCATTTCTAAATATTTTGCTTCATTCCTAGCTCTCCAGACACAGGGATCAAGATAGAAGAAGGATGACCAAATGGCAGGGACCTATGCCTATGAAAACAGATGGACAACGTCCCATGAAAAAAATGAAATCAAACTTATTTTGGTGGTCATGCAGATGTTGTTTTATAAGACTACAGATAAATGTGGTCAAATGCTATTTGTTGCTGAAATGTATAGAATAAAGGTCAACTTGCATTTAGAAACAGAGCCCTTAGTGATAGAAATATTGAACACATTATGAAAGGAAATAATCAAAACTCAAAGGTAAAAGGTATCCAAACCTTTAAACACCCTTGAGTGAAACAAAGCTTGGAACATGAACAATTGCATCTATGTGACACTGAATCCCTCCTATCTGTACCTTTCTGAAAGTTTCTGTCACGGGAACGTAAATAAGTAGGCAATTATCATCCAATAACAGGACACCACCAGCACACCACCACTTTTCAGAACTTTTATCAGTTGAAACCCGCAGGGATGCAACCCCTTTTCCCTAGAATGTTTAATGACAAGGTCTATTGTCCAAGACTTCCCCCTTTTCCCTAGGATGTTTAATGACAAGGTCTCTAGTCCAAGACATCCCGAGTAGGGGTGGGCGCGGGTCGGTTGCGGCTACGGAACCTTCAATCTGCCATCCGTCTGCCAGATTGGCAGATTGGAGAAAATCAATCCACATCGGTCCGCCAATCCGACGAATGTAGATTGAGCGGATTAGCGGTTTGGCAGATGGATGCGAATCGGTTTGGCGGTTTAAAATTTTAAAATTTTCAACATAATTCAACTTGTACATTTATTCAAAAAAAAAGAAAAGAAAGTATAATAGTCAATAACTTAAAAAAATATTATAATCACTGCATGCCTCATCCAAAACAAGAAAGTTTAAAACTTTAGAATATCACAATCACTACATGCCTTATCCACATACTACAATCACAGCATGCTTCATCAACATAAAGTATTACAATCTGTGGTTCTTAAAATATAAAAACAATTCAAACCACCAAAACTATGAATAGAGCATAATAAATACATAAAAGAAAATTATATATTATTAAAATTATTTTATTAAATTTTTTTATTAAAAAATTATTTAATTTGATTTTTTTTTAAAAAAATGGCAAAATTAAGTCTTATATTTTTTATACAAAAATATCAAATATCAACCTTTGCCATTTGATAAAAGGATTTTCAAATTGAAAACACAACAGAATAACTAAACTTTTTTTTCAATTGAAAATACAAACAGAATATCTAAACAAATTGAAAACACAAAATCTTACAAATTACTGGACGGTTCAGCGGTTCGGTTCGGTTCGGTTGCGGCCAAATGAATCTCAAATCTACCATCTGTCCGCCAGATTTGCGGATTGGAGAAAATCAATCCGCAACTGTTCACTCGTCATCACGCATCCGTCCAAAATGCGGCAGATTGGTTCGGTTCGGTCAATTTTGACGGATCGGTATATCCGCTGCTCACCCCTAATCCTGACACCATAATCTTTCATCACCCATATGTTTTTGTCAGGACATACAACATCCACTTTGAAGCAATCGATACAGAGGCGACCTTCCATTACCCCAAGGTTCAACCAGCAGATATTCCCGCTGGGGCGCATGGAAAATGTAGGCAGCGGTGGCACTGGTTGGAATTTCTCACTTTCAAGATCAAATGCATATATAACTGAGAACTTCGAGGATAATCAAGGAACCACTGAAGAACTCCATTGAGATAAGCACAAACAGAATGATAGCGGAATGGATACGGAACACCTCCAAGGCATCTCCACGTGCCAGAGCCAACAGTGCATATTTTTGACACCCATTTATCATGAAAACTTGGTTAGTTAAATTTTTGAATCACCTTGTATTGATTACACTTCTGGCTACAGCCAAGCCCACATACAAATGGAATAGTGAGGTCCTCTACAGCAACGGGAAGGGTCAAACACTGACCCATGGTAGGATTTTATAAGTAGAGACAGCCATTTTTTTAATGCAAACCAAGCTATTGCACGAGTTCACAAGCTCAATCCCAAATTTGGGCAAGTTAGGTTGCTTGATCTTCACAACAGCATTGTTCCTCGAAACTCCAAACTTGACTAAACAGAGAGTTCTTGAATCGGCATGCCTAGAACTATTGGATTGAACCAGGAGACAAGTGGGTGCTTTTGAAAAGTAGGATTGAGCGACATGAGGGTCTAAGAACAAATGACGCCATGCCTTACATACACACTTGCACTAGACAAGGGCCTTCATTGGAAGTTTGCACAAGATATCAATTACTATGTGGCAAGGAATTTGGAGAATGAATGCCTTGTTTTTCCAACGGCGATATTCCTCTCCTTTATCGATATGTGTTTCGATGCATTTTTGGGTAATGGGAAAGCATCTGACTGGAAACAAAAAATTAAAAAGGTGCTCTTGCTATCTACTCCTATTTTCACTTTCTACGAAACAAATATGGCCTTGAATAAAATTTTGCAAGCCAATTAAACATATTTAATGATCAATTAAAACTCTCTCAGCAAACAAAACAGAAGAGGACTATTTACAAGTGACAAGATTTCAAAAAAATAGCATGTGCTGCCTAAATAAAAGCTGAGAATTTCAAAACCTTGAGAAATTTTATTAAGGTATTAAAAATGAGATGGAAGACAACAGAGTCCACAGAGAATTCAAGATTTGAATAGAGTATGAGTCGAATGTGTGAGTTCTGACATGCCGAGAGGAGTATCTAATTGTCTAAAAATAATGACACAAAATATATATTTGAATCAAACTTATTTTGGTGATCATGGTATGCTGATGTTATCTAATAAGACTACAGATAAATTGGATCAAATGCTTGTTTGTTGCCCAGAAATGCATAGAAATAGGTCACCTTGTATTTAGAAACAGAGCACTTATTTTATGTTTGGTTTATTGGAATGAGCTAGAATGGAATGATCATTTCATCATAATGTTCATTCTCACATTTGGTTTACTAAAAAAATTATGAAAATGCATTGCAAATTGAATTATCACTGTAAAAGAGTGATCATTCCATAAGGAAGCTATGGAATGACCATTCGATTCCTATCCACCTTCATTACCTAACAGTACCTCTATGATAGGAATATTGAACACATTATGAAATGAAATAATCAAAACTCAAGTTAAATAGAATCCAAACCTTTAAGATTTCTTCCCCCAAAACACTTTTGAGTGAAACAAAGCTTGGAACAAGAACAATTGCCTCTATCTGAGACTTAATTCCCTCTATCTGTGCCTTCCTGAAAGTTTCTGTCACAGGATGGTAAACAAATGGGCTAAAATAATACAATAGCAACACTCCCCCATTTTTCAGAACTTTTATCAATTGAAACCCATAGGGATCCCACCAGCCTTCCCTAGGGTGTTTAATGACAAGGTCTCTAGTCCAAGACTTCCCAACACCATAATCTTTCATCACCCATATGTCTATGTCAGGACACACAATATCCACTTTGAAGCAACTGATACAAAGGTGACCTTCCATTACCCCAAGGTTCAACCAGCAGATATTCCCACCTGGGTACATGGAAAACGTAGGCGGCGGCGGCACTGGTTGGAATTTCTCACTTTCAAGATCAAATGCATAGATTAACTCAGAACTCTGAGGATAATCAAGAAGCCAGTGAAGAAATCCGTTGAGATAAATACCAACTGAACGATAGCGAAATGGATGAGGAACATCGCCAAGGCATCTCCATGTGCCAGAGCTAACTGTGCATTGCCAGCCATTTATCATGAAAACTCAATTGGTTAAATATTTGAATCACCTTGTATTGATTACCCTTCTGGCTACAGCCAAACCCACATACAAACGGAATAGAGAGGTCCTCTGTAGCAACAGGAAGAGTCAAATGCTCACCACCCATGGTCGGGTTTGATAAGTAGAGACGGCCATTTTTTTGCATGCAAACCAAGCCATTACATGAGCTCACAAGCTCAATCCCAAATTTCGGTAAGTTAGATTGCCTGATATTCATGACAGCATCAATCCTCGAAACTCCAAACTCAATCAAGCAAAGAGTTCTTGAATCGGCATATCTAGAACTATTCGACTGAACTAGGAGACAAGTGTGTGCTCTTGAAAAGTGTGATTCAGTGAAATGTGGGTCTAAGAACAAATCACGCCATGCCTTACATACACACCTGCACTTGCCAAGGGCCTTCATTGGGAGTTTGCACAAGATTTCAATTACTACATGGCATGGAAGTTGGAGAATGAATGCCTTGTTGATCCTTCCATGACGCTCCTCTCCTCTATCAATGCTTTTGTTGTCATTCATGATAGTATGTGTGTTTTGATGCATTTCTGGGTACTCCTGTTTGTTAATTGGAGTTGGTGTTAGGAATAGATATAGTAATGCAAAGTACAATCCAGTCTACTTTATACTTGTGTTATTACGGCAATCAAATATCTTCCATTTGTTAATTGAATCACCCAGCAACTAACTCCAAGAAAAGAACCCTAAGAACTAATGATTGATTGCACAAAGCAAGATTTTTCTCTTTTTTTTGGCACTACATACTGCAATTAAAATTAGGTAATAATGTATAAAAATCAATCAAAACAAACATCATATTACTAAGACTACAAAAGCAATCGATTGGAAAAAAAAATTCCAGATCAAAACAACAACAACAACAAAAAATCAGTTCTATTAAACTTGGAATTCAATACAATTGAGTTCATTACAGACACAAAATGTATAACAAAGAAATTAAAAAATTGCTGACCTTCATTCTTTGATCAATGATGATTTGTATATCCTTATCGCTTGTGCAATAGGTTGTATGTGTTTTGATATAATTAGGGTTTCATCTACGGATCCAGTTGCCGAGAGAGAGAGAGAGAGTTGCAGTAGTACTGAAATTGAAGTGCTGAGAGAAATAAATACTGGATAAGTGAGAGTGAGAGAGAGAGAGAGAGAGAGAGAGAGTTGCAGTAGTACTGAAATTGAAGTGCTGAGAGAAATAAATACTACTGGATAAGTGAGAGAGAGAGAGAGATCGTCTGCGAACGTGGAAGGTTGGTCAGTTATGGAATAAAATTTTGGAATTAAAATGACTTTAATAAGATGGCTGATATTACTTATCTTTATTTTTTGAATCTTTTATTTTTTTGAATTCCGACTTTAAATCTTATATTTTAATAATATTTCTTTTAACACTTCACTTAATATTAAGGCCAAGTTTGGCATCCTCAAAAAAATTTAAAAAGTCAAAAAGTCACTATCCTATTTAAGTTACATCATTTTATTTAAGTCACATCACCTCTCTATCACATCATTTCAAACCCAACCCATACCCAATCCATATTTCATAAAAAGTCAAAAAGTGCACTTATTTAGGACACCTCAAACAACCCCTAAATTTATCCTTATTCATAATATCATCACCCCAGTTATGCGCATCTACCTCATTTGCACATCCACCTCATTTGCACATCCTTTTCATTAGTGAACAACGAACGATAGATCCTCTCCTCCAACAAATTAAAGAACGACGATTCTTCTTTCTATTTGATTTATTCAAAACCCTAAACCCATTAACAGTGAAAACACCATTGCATCTCGTCTAAAACTAAACGATGGTGAACGACAATTTTTCTCTTTTATACCATTACATCTATATGGTTCTCTAACTCATTTAAAGTTAAGAATGACGGTTCTTTGATTTTATACTATAGTATCTCTGTGGTTCTCTGTTCAGCACTGTGTTATCGAACCAAAACGATTTGTTCAACACTGTGTTGTCGAACATATATGATTTGTTCAACATTGTGTTGATGAACATAAATGATTTGTTCAACACTATATTACCGAACATAAATGATTTGTTGAGCTTTTCTAGTAAGATTCAGGGTCAGGAGATTGTTGAAGAAAAAATAGTTTTCTTGACTCATCTAAACTGTTGATTTCTTATATCAATGAATGGTGGCAATGATTTAAACAAACAATTTCAACTTGTAGTGACAATGATTTCTGATTTAGGGTTTATGATGGTGATGGGACGATGAATATCATATAAGGTTTAGGTTGGTGACTGATCTCTGTCTAATGGTTTGATGGGGTGGAAGTGGGTGGTGTATAATGTTGTAGAGTATGATTCTAATTGTCTTCATTTAGTGGGTGTGTGTTCCATTGAAAGTTGTCTTTTATTATAATTTAACTTTAAATTATAATTGTAATAAAAAACAGTTAAAATTAGGGTTCCAATCCAAATAATAAAAATGGATGTCAATTGCAGCCATCTTGAATAAATATGTAGTAATTTATTTCTTGTCGGGATTATTGGACCCTTTTTTTAGATATATAGATTTGTTGGGATTATTGGCCTTGGTAATATTATTGAAGTAGTTTTTTAATTATTGTTATTTGTCAAATTTGATGTAATGGTTCACGTATTTATAATTAATTTCTTACAGATCGACACAAAAAAATATAAGAAAATGCTATAGATCTCAAATAATTTATCAGAAGTTTGGTAAAAAATTTGATAAATTATTTAGGGTCTTTAACATAACTCAAAAATATATATATAGATGAAGGGAAAAAATTATCAAAATTTGAAAATTGAAATAAAAAATAGGAGAAATATCTCAAAATTCACACCGAATTTGTGTTGTACACTTTAAATTCAAGGTACATGCTTCTTAAAAAGTGTTAATCAGGCTACCACAATATTTGTGGATTTAAGTCATGAAATTTTGTGGCAGTTAAATTTACATATGAATTGGACTATTCATATTAAATACATTCAATATGAAACAACCACAAAATTATTCTCCATGAAAATCTAAATAGCGCCACTTTTTTTATTCGAAACATACCTATTCCAAAATTTGGGGATTCAAATTAGGTTCCATTCAATCTATACAAAAGAAAAGGAATTGGACCAAATGAACTAATTTGAACCTCCTTCAAAATTCATGTTGCATATAACATTGCATGTTCAAGAAAATGCAAAGAATTTATAAATACCAAAAAAACAAATGAATTGAGGGATAAAAAATCAATGTCATTTTAACTTAGAAGTTTGGAAGAGAAAAAGATCTATTATTGAGAGAATGAATTCTAAAAAGAGCTTTTTCAAACTAACCTTTGTGACCAAATCTTCCTGAATGTGTGGTTAGTCAATATCACCAGATAGCCATAAATTAAATCATGATAACAATAATAGATTTAATTTTCAATGTGACTGTTACACATCAACACCACTTCCGATACCTCCCATCAATTTATATCACAATACACAATTTTATAAGGTTCCATAACTAAGCAATAAACATTAGAACACAAGTTTGGGAACAGAGCATTATGGCGTTCCTTGCCATCCAGAAATGGCATATCCTGCAAATGTAGCCTCCAAATAGAAGATTAATAATCCTCAAACAGACAACTCCATCTTAGAAATTAAAATTCCATCAGTATCGGCATAGAGCCATTCCCCGTCACAGATTCTGGTCCCACCAATTGTTACTGGAACATGTTTCTCTCCGATACCCTTCTTATTAGCTTTCATCGGATGGGAATTGAGAGCTCTCACCCCAATATCACAGCCATTGATTTCATCAACATCTCTAATACAACCGTTGACTACTATACCCGCCCATCCATTATTTTGAGCCTGTACCACAGGATTGCCACCCAAAATTGCACACCGCAAACTTGCACCACCATCGACAACAAGAACTCTGCCGTTACCTTTCTCCTCAAGAAACTCACGAACCAAAACGTTGTCTTCAAATACTTTGAGCGTCACTATTGGCCCAGAAAAGACTTGTCGCCGGCCATATATCTGGAAAACTGGCTGAAGTGCCCGAAGCTCACCACTCACAATGAGCTGTGGGTTCGCATCACAAACTTCGGCAGTAGTAACCAATGCCATGTTATTCCAAGCACCTTCAGAAAAGGGCAAATGTTTAGAATTTAGAATTATAATTTTTAAGGGAATATAAAAATAAAATAAAAAAAGAAAGGTACAGATCAATTATCAAAATTCCCTTTGAACATTTTAGAATTTTCATTTTCAGGAAGGAACTAGAAATACAAGACATGATGGGCGTGCAATTCATGTGATCGAAATCCTATCTAACCATAAAGGACACTAGTCTCTCAACCCCCAACTTCAATATTGTTAGTTCTTACACAGGGCACCAGTCTACAATAATAAGAAAGCATGACAAAGCTTCAAAAATGTTAAACAACATGGTGTTCCCTTTATGTAAGAGTGTGTGCATATCTATCATGGAGAGAGAGATGATTTGCTTACATAGATGTCAGCTAAAATATCAGAATGGGGAGAGCATGTAACTTGTAAGCCTAATTGTTTCTTGAAAGAAATTGGAAATGATCATGCAAACAAATTAACTTCTAAAAAGTTAAATATGATACTTTCTACCTATCCATGCACAAACCTTATGCAATGTATTAGTTTCTCTACGAAAATTTGGTCACTCTAATGGGATGCAATATTGAGAACAAGTGCTTAAACCCTGGGAAGACAGTAGATAGTTGATTATAAAATACCTAGGTGCAAATTCTATACGGCTGCTTCTTTCTCAATCAGGGAGGTAGAGGACGAAAATTATGTTGGTGGAGTTTGATGAACATAAATATGGACTGATTCAAAAACCTGTTGCCTATGCATCACCAATGGAAGCAGAGACATTTAGTGGGCCATGATTGAGATCTAACATATAGTTAACCTTTTTTAGAAGAGGAAAAAAAACAAAGATAAGGCATCAAAGATGTGCCTATAGTTCATATTATAACGAACCCTTATAACAAACCCTCCATAACCAAAAATAGTTGGGTGCATCCAAACAAGGAATAATATAATGCAAATTTAAAGAATAAAAATATTTGCAAATTCAAAGAACTATCAAGTTGTCCAGAGCTTCCACTTGACATAAAGCAAGATACAATCTTATTCATCCTTCATTAATCACCTTGTACAAATTCTGCATCCATCATCTCTGTCAAATTATTCATAGCCAGGGACACAAAACAGATAAGCCTAGTAATTTAGATAACTGAATAAAGGTTGCGGAAAGTTGTATCATGAAATAATATAATGAGGATGGCCATATTTTCCATACTGTCAAAACAACTAATCCACCATATGGTTGAAATAGCAGCTTTGGCAGCATTTATGCACCCAGTTTTGCTATTCTACAAATCAATAACATGCACCAAAGAGTGTTTTTGTATTGCAAATTTTAGACACAAACTGAGACAAAAGAATATTAACAGAATGCTAAGAAGCCTGTAAAACACACACACACACACATACACACACACACACAATGTTGACAGGTTGTCCAAAGTCTTAAACCCCATTTACCCCCTCATTCTCTCCATTGCTGTTGTCTACAAGGCAAAAATCAATGTAAAGTGCAAACACATTCATATCTGTATGTCCAAAATCATCATACAATGTAAACAAAACAAAATTTAGATATATGTTAGTGAAAAACTTACAACTCATTTAGAGGCTAAAGTTTCCTTAAATGGTATTTAAACATTAGTTCTACCAAAGAACAAGAGCGTTCTGTTTCGTTTTGAAAACTATTTTCTATTCTCAAAAACATACTTTTTGAGGGGTTTTTTTTTTTTTCTAAAACAACCCATTTTGAGGAACCAATTTTAAATTGTTCTCTAAATTCTTGAAAATTTTGATTCATACAAAAAATGAAAACAACATAAAAAGGATTTTGTTTTCAAGCTTCCCAACATTCTTATTTCTAAAAAAACAACAAAACAAGAACCAAAAACAAAAACAATGAAAATAAAACCAACCATGTGATTTTCTAGGAAACAAGATCTACCCTCAGTGAGCGCACTTTCCACTAGAAGGAGAATAAGCAATCTGAATTGGACATAAGATGCAAGAGAATGCACACTAAAATGTCACTAAATTTTGGGTGACAGATTTGGTTAAATCATATGAATAAAACCTCAAATAACTTTCAAACTATGAAAACTTGTCAAGCAATATTGGAATATGAAAACATCACTTTTATCTATCAAAAATAAAAATAAAAAACATTTTATTTCCGAAAACAACGGACTTAATTGAAAACGATCATAGATATTGATAAGTGTGATTTCTTATGTTTATCAGTAATTTGGAGGAGTTATGCCAATAAATAAATAAATGAGTAACATTTACTGTCAGTCTATTAGACTTTGAGCTTTCTCAAACATAAAAATTTACTAAAAGTAAGCAAATTATCAGATCAGATTGATGACCAACTGATGCCCAAAACTGATAGTTTTCAGCAATCTTGGTACCCATCTATAACAAAATACTGCAATTAATAAGTGAGGTAATTAATGAAGCCATAGAAGATTTGAAATATGTTCCATAGACATACATGGGTTGAACTGAAAAAAAGGAAATTTGCTTATAATCAGAAGAATGATTGATTAGATGTAATTTCTAAAAATGGGCACTTTTATGAAGAATAAATAGAAAGACAAAGAAAGATCAGAACGATGAAACATATTAAATCTGAGAAAACATTCAGATCATCAAAACAAAACATAATCGAAATTAAGTACAAATACAATACATTGTAGATGAGAGAGAGAGAGAGACCTGGTGAACGGGGGAGATAATCGTGGAGCAGCTGAAGTGAATTCCCAATCACAATAAGTTATTGGATTCCAATCAGCAACGATTGAACTGTTGTTTCCAATCCAATCCAACCCTAGCCCTGCCTTTGGCCTCTATTGGGAAGCCAAAAGCAAAAAGCCAAAGCTAGATTTTAATCCTGTCATCTCTCATATATTTTATATATTTTTAAAAAAGAAGTTAAAAAATTAATTTTTAATCATTTTTTTAGGCTCTGTTTGTTTTCAGTGATAGAATAGAAGGGATTGATAGTGAGAAAATTAATAGTGAGGAGATTGTTAATGTAGGGATTAAGTAAAATTATATTTATTTTGATGATAATTGTTAGTGTAGAGATTGTTAAATTATTTTTATATAAAATAATAATACAAATAAAAAAATACAAAAACATTAAATATTAATGTTTTAAAAAAAATGTCCAACATATAAAAAATTAAAAAATAATAATAATAAAATAAAAAAATTTTAGAAAAAAATAAAACAAATAAAATAATGATTTTTACTTAACAAAAAATACAAAAAATTAAATATTAATGTTCAAAAAAAATGTCCGACATGTAAAACATAAAATAAAAAATAAATAAAAATAAAAAATTTCTAATCCGCCAGACTATTTTTCTAATACCAAATCTTGGAGGCTCATCCGAATTCCTTTGGGAAGGCCCATCCTTATCCGGAACTCACTATCAATCCCCTCTCCATCTCTCAAAACAAACACAATATTAGTGGGTCCCACCTTACTACTAATCACAATCCCCCCTCTAACTCTCCAAACAAACGGGGCATTAAAATAACTCTTTGTTTAAGATGTGAATTAGTTTTTTGATTTTTTGACTATTTTAATCTGAGATTAAAAAGCCTCGTTTAAGATGCACGTTTTAGCTTTTTTAATTTTTGTGAAAAAAAAAATAATAATTATGATTTACATGTGACATTTTATTTTATTAATTTTTAACTTATTTTAGTTTTTTGTGACTAAAATAATTTTAAAACCGATGCCAAACATATATTATACTAGGGTAGGATATGAGCCAATTGGATGGTTGTAGTTAAAATATAAATTTTAATTTTGAATTTATAAGATAGAAATATATGCTTGATACAAGTGTTTTTAATAAATTAAATGAATGGTTTTAATTATTATTTTTTATTTTTTATTTTTTAAATAAAAAAATTGACACTTGACAAAAAGAAAGAAGAAGTTGACACCAAGTAACATTTTCACTTTATGTATAGTATAGACTAGTAGTTGGTACACGCGATACTGATGCAATCCAAATAAGTAAAAGTAAAACAAATAATTTGTTATATATTATGTGTCATTCAAGTGATAAGAGTCTTATCCTTTAGACTTAAGGTCCAAGTTTCAACTTCTACCCAGGGCTGTGCGCTGTATAGGTCGAGCAATTTGAGAATAAAATTAGAAACCAAATCGTGAATGATGGATTGACAAATAAGCAAACCGCAATTTAGGGCGGTTTCAATTTGCTAGTTAATTAAACAATTCTTTTAAACAATTATTAAGCATTTACATAATATATAACACTAATTTGCATAATATTTTTTGTTTATATATAACTACTAATTTGTAACAAATGTCACATCTTAAATCTCTTGCTCACACTCATTTCTATTTTGATATTGAATTAAAGGTTTAAAAAAAATATGTATAACTAGAGCGAAACAGAGTGGTTTCGAAGACAGATTATAAAGTTCAAAATTTAATTTGCGATTAGCAGATAAATCGGTATAGATCGGTGCAATTTTAACAGATTGTGCAGTATTTTGCACAAGCCTACTTTTACCTATCTATCTAATTTTTATTTATTTATTCAAATAGAAAAATGAGGGATACGTGACATAAGGAGAAGCAAGCGAATGCTTGAATTCCAAGTCCAACCTTCACTTAATATAATAGTATAGACTAGCGGTTGGCACATGTGATGTGCGATTTAAATAAGTAAAAATAAAACAAATTATTTATTATATATTGTGTTTCAGTCAAATGGTAAGAGTCTACTCCAACAAATCCAAGGTCCAAAGTTTGAGTATCACTTCTTCCATTTATCTAATTTTTCTTTTAATGTAAGTAGAATAATAAGGGACACGTGGCATAAGGAGAAACAACCAAGAGTTTGGACACTAAGTCCAAGCTTTACTTAATAATAGTACTAGTAGTTAGCACATGCAATTCAAATAAGTAAAATAAAACAAAAGGGAAATTTTATGGTATAGGGTATATATCATATGCACCTGTAGTTACGATCTTTGTGGTTTTTGGTTATGACATATTGTGTTTTTTTTTAGATTGATAATTGTGTTGTTAGTTATGATTTATTGTGATGTTGGTTATGACATTATTTTGATTATAATTTAAGAGTTCTTTGTTATACCTTATGCGCATTTTTATTATAATTTTTTTTAAATTTTTTTTATAATTATAACTCCCATAGTATTGGGTAATGTTATTTGTGATAATCAAACTAAAAAAAAAAACATAACTTTCATATGGTACACATCATAAAAAAGAGTGCGCACCGTAGCATTACCCAAAATAAAAATATTTATTATATATTGTGTGTCATTCAAGTGACTAGAATCTTCTTCATTTGATCTTCAATTCAAGTCTCACTTCTCTCACCCGTCAATTTTTTTTACGTTTATTTTAAACAGAAACATAAATACTTGACAACATAAGAAGCCAAGATTTCAGGATATCATAAGGGATGTTCGCTTTATATATAGGATAGAAGATAGATATACCGATAGATGGTTACAATCAAGAATGAGGGGTGGATATAATTATGGGGGATTTACGTGTAGGTTTTAATATGTGAACTTATTGTCCAATAAGTCTTGTGAGAATTAATAGTGTTTTTTATCAAACACTATTAAAAAAACGCTACTAATTATTAAGCATCAATTTGAAAATTTTGTTACAAAAAATGTCACTAACTATAAGTTTTAGTGACGGTTTAAAAAAATCGTCACAAAAAAGTCATTAATTTTCAACTTTTAGCGATAGTTTGAAAAATTCGTCAGAGAAAAATATCACTAATTGTAAGTTTTAGCGACAATTTATAAAAATTGTGATATAAAAATCACTAATTACTAATTCTTGGCAATATATGCAGAAAATCATCACAAAATATTATTTTTAACGATAATTTTACTAAAATATATTTTGAATAAGGCTTGATGAGACTTAAATCTATAATTTAGTATATAATTATTTACATTGGGAGTTTGATGGCCACAAATAAAATTCGAATAAAGATTTGTGCCTCGAATTTCCATGCCCCGAATGCCCCTAACGCTCAAAACGA